AGCCAGCAAATGTTTAGTTTTATAAGTAATACTTTATGAATTATCTTAACCTGACTGACTGACTAACTGATATAGTAATATTGTACAAAATAGGGAGGTAATTACAAAGAGTTAATGGTAATATCCAGTGTTTAAAAATGTATGATGTTAAATGCCTAATACATCCCTAGGCCTTACAAACATAAAGCTTAGAAATACTGTCCGGCTATGTTATGTTGTTAGGCTAACAACTTCAGATTCTCTCTTCACAGGCTCCATGGGTGGGTTGACACAAAAAGCTGAAACATTTTAATGTTTTGCTAACGTCAAGTTGCAAGTTTATAACGTCCTTGATATGACAGTGCTGCCAACCGAGATTTAGCCAGGCAGCCAACAAATCTAGATGGGTTAGTGTAAGTTAATGTCTGTTCTCGCTAGCTAGGTTAACTTGATATAAATTAACGTTACCATCTGACAAGATGAGAATCATATAAAATAACGTTTCACCACTAACCCAACTAACCCAGTTGGGTCTGCTAAACGCTATCATGAAGGAAACTGACACAACCCAAAACACCCAGGTCTTAATACACTGATACCAAAGACGGACTTGTGTTTGCTCTGATTTTGGAGAACAGCAAACTGCTAACCTAGCAGTAGCCTGCTAACGTTAACCAAGTTAAACTACCGTTTGCTAGTCAAGCACAGTCGGCTAACGATAAGCTAGTTAGCTGCGTTAGCTTAGCTTTAGGCTGTAAGCTCCTGAGTAACCAAATGTCACCAACAACACATGCTAACATACACTCAGCAACTTACCAAACGTAATTAGCGCGTACTGGTTGTTCACAGTTTCTCTAAACACAGCTGATCATGAGATATCTCGAATCAGAGGAATTGTTTGTTGGCGGTTAGCCGTCTCACACTGGCTTCTGCAGGAGCGAACAGTGCTGTCATTTGCTGTCATCACGAGGAGACCTGCGCAACTCGCATGCGCAAAGGCGTGATAAAGGGAGCTTTCGCACTAAAATATGAAACAGGCCTGCACATCATGTTGTTTCTGTAGTTTTAAGAGTTAGGTTCAATATCTAACGCATCCCACAGCAAATGGAAAACTACACACTAAACCCAATCCTGTGTGATGTTCAGATCCACTCTCTGTATGCTGTACTGGATCTTACTGGATAATATCTCAAACTAAATTTCTAGAGAGAGCCAGTCACAAATTCATTACCACTTTCAATAACAGTAGTCTCTGTTGAAGGTTTTTCTTTCTACCAAATGTGTGTAAACTGTAAAGCAGATTAATGTACACACTAGTTGACATAGCATATTGTAATTTTTGTCATCAGGGTTACATAAAAGTGTTGTTTTCTTCACATTCTTTCCAAAATCGCAGTTTACACTTTCTATTATAAAACTAAAAAGAATGTGACTTTGGAATACATCCCCTTGAATTAACAAACTCCATTATTATCTCACATTATTATATTAATAAATATGTTCGTGTGGGCACCTAAATGTTGTTTTAAGACAGACTTGAAACATTGCAAACCTATCATTTAATGAATTTTTTAATGAATGAAAAATTGTATGAAGAGTACAGCTGAATCATATCAACTATACATTTACAGATAATGAAAAGATTGATACAAACGGCAATACGGTCAGCAAAGGCTTGTCCATAGCTGTCCGTAGAATGAACCATCCACTGAGGCTTTCTTAAAAGGCTTTTTACATCTACACTGAATAAAAGATCACTAAAGCTGGACATTTACCTGAAGTTCATCCCCTGACAGTACTGCAATATTACAGTGCAGTATGATAACACATGAATACTAAAAGAAATCACATTTTTCACTTGGAAGGGAAAGTTTATAAATAAAGATATCAGAATACATAGCCTATGGTGAACAGACGCACACTGAGTCAATCAATAGTGTGGTTACACTGTACATTTACTGGCTGAAATTAATGATAACCATGAAGAAAGTACAAACTAAATTATATATGTATGTATATTAATGTATCCTTCCCCCACAGCCAGTCAAAGCAGATGGCCGCCCACCCTGAGTGAAGGTTCTGCCCAAGGTTTCTAACTTCTATAAATGAGTTTTTCCTTGCCTCTCTTGCCAAGTACTTGGTGGGAACTGTTGTGTCTCTGTAAATAATATTGCAAAGAGTACGGTCTGGACCTGCTCTATGAAAAGTGTAATGAGAAAACTTGTACACTCACTGGCCACTTTATTAGGTACACCTTGCTGTAATACCGAGTTGGACCCCTTTTGCCTTCAGAACTGCCTTAATTCTTTGTGGCATACTTTCAACAAGGTGTTGGAAACATTGCTCTGAGACTTTGGTCCATATTGACATGACAGCATCACGCAGTTGCTGCAGATTTGTTGGCTGCACATCCATGATGTGAATCTCCCATTCCACCACATCCCAAAGGTGCTCTATTGGATTGAGATCTGGTGTCTGTGGAGGCCATTGGAGTACAGTGAACTCAATGTCATGTTAAAGAATCCAGTTTGAGAAGATTTGAGATTGTGACATTATCCTGTTGGAAGTAGACATCAGAAGATGGTAACACTGTGGTCATAAAGGGATGGACGCGGTCAGCAACAATACTCAGGTAGGCTGTAGCATTTAAACAATTTGCTCAATTGATACTAAGAGGGGGCGGTTAGTGGTTAGCACTGTCGCCTCACAGCCCTTTCTGTGTGGAGTTTGCACGTTCTCCCCGTATCTGCGTGGGTTCTCTCCAGGTGCTCCGGCTTCCTCCCACCTCCAAGACATACAGGCTAGGTTAGTTGGTGACCCTACATTGTCCTTATGTGTGAGTGTGAGCGTGAGTGGTTGTTCGTCTATGTGTGGCGCTGCGATGGACTGGCGACCTGTTCAGGGTGTACCCTGCCTTGCGCCCGATGTCAGCTGGGATTGGCTCCAGCCCCCCCGCGACCCTGTACGCAGGATAAGCGGTTGACGATGGATGGATGGATGGTACTAAGAGGCCCAAAGTGTGCCAAAAAAAAAATCCCCCACACCATAACACCACCACCACCCCCAGACTGAACCATTGATACAAGGTAGGATGGATCCATGCTTTCATGTTGTTTATGCTAAATTCTGCCCCTACTGTCTGAATGTCGCAGCTGCAATTGAGACTCATCAGACCAGGTAACATTTTTCCAGTCTTCTATTGTCCAATATTGGTGAGCCTGTGTGAATTATAGCCTCAATTTCATGTTCTTAGTTGACAGGAGTGGCACCGATGTGGTCTTCTCCTGCTGTAGCCCATCTGCTTCAAGGTTCGACGTGTTGTGCGTTCAAAGATGGTATTCTGCATACCTTGGTTGTAACAAGAACCCATCTGCCCATTCTCCTCTGACCTCTGACATCAACAAGGCATTTTTCGTCAACACAACTGCCGCTCACTGGATACTTTCTCTTTTTCGGACCATTCTCTGTAAACCCTAGAGATGGCTGTGCGTGAAAATCTCAGTAGATCAGCTGTTTCTGAAATACCCAGACCAGCTTGTCTGGCACCAACAACAATGCCATGTTCAAAGTCACTTAAATCCCCTTTCTTCCTCATTCTGATGATCGGTTAGAACTTCAGCAAGTTGTCTTGATCACGCCTACATGGTTAAATGCATTGAGCTGCTGCCATGTGATTGGCTGGTTAGCTATTTGTGTTGACAAGCAATTGAACAGGTGTACCTAATAAAGTGGATGGTGAGTGTATATTGGCAAAACGTAATACATGCATTATTCCACTAGGTGGAGGTCTAATTACACTGAAAAAAGACAATGTAAATGCAATAAGTTACAGTAACATTAATCACGTTAACATGTAACATGTTAAAGCACATTCATATTTAAAAAGAAAAAATGGATGCGGGAATCTCTATCCATCAGCCAATTTGAAACTCAAATCAGTACCTAAACAGAAAGGACACTCAAACAGGATATGAAGGGATGAAGTTTGGAGCACACAGTTATAGTTTTTATTAAGCAGCAACTGATGTTTTGACAATGTTTTCATCAGAATGAATTTACTCACATTGTTTTCCAAACTTGTTTGCCACATCTTATTATAAGTTTGAACTATAACAGTGTGCTCCACACCTCATCCCTCTTAAAGCTGTATTTAATGTAAATAATGATGGCTGTAAACAGACATTATAGGCAGTTATACAAACTAAATATTTTCATTTCATACACTCTTGTATTAACACTGATGATATCAATATTTTGACATCAGTTAGAGTGAAGAGCATTATCTTAATGGTACTTTATCAATACAATTTGAAAGATTTCAAATTACTGGCATTAGGCCTATGTATTTTGATATAGTTTTTTTCTTTTTTGATTTTATTATTTGAATACTCATGCATGTGTGTCATAAAATAACTTGGGAAGTGTTAAACATCCTAGCTGAAGAGCCTAAGAGACAGACGACTAATGTCTTCAGACATGTTGATCAAAACAATCCCATTGATGGGAACTGTATTACGTTACCCTTCTTACCCTTCTGTTAAAATGCCTAATAAGGAAGTACTGGAACAGAAATGCAAAGCCACAAGGTCACTCGTTAAATTCCATTTATTATATATTTATTTATGGGTTATAAACATCACAAAATAGAAAGTTGAGGAAGGTCTTGCACAAAGATATATAATCAGGTAAAAGAGCAACCTTAGATTAGTCAACATTGGCAATGGAAGCAGGCATCTCATCATATCTGAGTTCAGTGCTGCAGCTATGTTAGGAACATTCTCATTTTATAATTTTTGTTTTAGTGCAAACAAAGTCTTTGCAGCTCTTGGCTCCAAGGGATTATTTAATATTAATAATAAAATAAGATTTTACAATATAGATGATAAGGTTGCTCTTTTATTGCATATTGTTTAAGAACATACTGTGATATTAGTTACAATAAGGTCTCAAGGTCATGGTGTTCAAATTATCTAATATTCAATATATATATATATATATATATATATATATATATATATATATATATATATAACTCTCACATTTCTAAGCATCAAATGGTATCTCATTAACATAATAAATGTAATTATAAGCAATTAATATTAAAATACCTGAATATAAATAACATGCTTTGAGCAAAATAATTGTTCATTTACAATGGTAGTTCAAACAACCTATGTCAAGAGCTGTCAAGCCTTTAGAAATAGCTAAACCTATACATTGCTTTGTGTCAAATGCATTTTTTTTTCGACTGAAGGCCACTTTCAAACAAAGCAATTTTTACAAGAATGACATCAAGTCTTATCACAAGATGAAATAAGTTCAAGCTAAAATTCTTAATGAAGTGGAAAAACAAATAAACAAATTGATTGTATTTCTTCATCTATCAAACAGTAACTAATATAGCAATAAAAAAAATATCCACACAACTACAGTATACTTAGGAAATAATACTTCAGTACTAATAAACAGTTGTAATAGTACAACCACTATAACAAGTTATCATATAAATTTCTGATATAACATTTGTTGGAGAAATCAATAGTGGATGACTGTTACAACATGAGACCTGGCTGTGCCTACTATTATGTGGTGGCAATGAGATGTGTACTTCAGAAATAGTATGTGCTTCATACATTGTCTGCAGAAACTGCACAGATCATACATGTTCACATCTTAAACACCTGGATAACTGGGTTTGTGCCTATTCTACATGCAGGCTATTAACTCTTCTGAGTGCAACAGAATCAAAACAAGCCAGAAACAACATAGGGCAACCTTTAAAACAGTGTGTATATACTGTATGTGTGTGTTTGTTTGTGTTTGTTTCTGTGTGTGTGTGTGTGTGTGTGTGTGTGTGTGTGTGTGTGTGTGTGTGTGTGTGTGTGTGTGTGTGTGTGTGTGTGTGTGTGTGTGTGTGTGTGTGTGTGTGTGTGTGTGTGTGTGTGGCAACAGAGAGAAATAAGAGAAAGAGAGAGAGAAAGAGATTGGTCACATATATACACAAATTTCCATACCAATGTTCAATTTGCTAAACCACACCATGTATTTACAGTATGTACATTTAGTGTAGTTGACATCATTATAATTACTATTTAGTGCTATACTATATAATATCATCCAAGAGATGAGGAGTACCCACCCAGTCCAGTGTTCTTGGCTCAGATGCAGCCATGATCATGCACATGAACTGTTTCCCTGTTCTCTTATCTATTGGGTAAATTGTGGTTGGAGTGAACCCTTTGTTGCTCTCCACAAACTCACACAGCTGATTATAGATTTTGGGGTACTCGTGACGAAGGAAGACTCCCCTGGTCCTGAGCTCACGCTGGATGTTGACAAAGCACACCTCTCTGGCTTTTCTTCCTTCCTCCCCCTCCTTGTCAATGTCTGGTGTGCCTGGAGGCGGAGTGAGGATGAGAGTTTCCATTTCACTATCCTTCTTGAGTACCTTTTTGTCAGGGCTTGAAGAGGCCAAGGACACCTTTGCATATTTTCGAACTGTTGGTGTTTGGACTCTTGGTGAAGGTCTGTTAGGCACTAGTTCACCAACAGCTACGGATACATTCAGAAGGAAACATTCATTGGGGTCATACTCGTTGCCTGCTAGCTGCAGTTCCTTGCAGTATTCACCTAGGTTGTCCTTGAAGCCATCCAGCTCTCTGAGAGATAAGTATGTGGGAGACATGAGGAGGCTCTCGAGCCCAACTTCCAGAAAGTTTTCAGCTGTCTCTGGATTAGCAAAACCCAGAAAAAGAATGCCTCTCCCTCTGGAGAGGTAGCCAGCTTTAGCAACGCGAGAGAAGGCTTTGTGGATCTCTGAATTCTCTCTGCAAAACTTAAGAGTGTGTCGACACACACTGTTCACACGACCATACAGACAGGTCTCTTTATGGGTCTCCCAGTCATCCCTGCGACAGTTACGTGAGCAGTAAAATGTGTAGCAACTGTGACATGATTTGAAGTACAAGCAGGCATTGAACATACTCTCAATCCGGTTGCACTTCTTGTTAGCACACACCATAGTGTCATCTTCATCTGTGCTGTGGTCTGGAGAACATTCTTCAGCACTCCTTTGTAAAGCATCACACCCACTATCAGGGTCTTTGATTGTGTCTGGACTGGATTTAGAGGAAGGGAGCTGTGTGTTCAGACATCCCAAGTTTTCAAGTCCAGAAGATCCTCTGTCTTTGTCATCATCTTCAGTAATTAGTTGTTTTAGCTGGTCTAGAAGGTTTTCACTTGACTTTCTGCTAGTTGGTGGTTTGTAATCAACAACCAAATCCGCTAAGAGTTCGTCCAGTTGCTCTAGACTCTGCTGGAGGGAGAAGTTGTTGTGTTTCCTGTCTTTGGTTATGTCCGATGTGTTGGATGGTTGCTTCTGATGCATTACTCTCGGAGATGGTGTCTTTTCACCATCCGGCATATCCCAGCTGACAGAGTGCACATCCCGGCGTTTACTGTTGCCGGCGCATATGTCGTTATCCGTTATGGTGATCTCAGGAGTTACAAACCAGTGCCCACTCTTGGTATTCCTCCACGGATTGCTTGAGCCCCTCTCTAATGAGTTTTCAGAGAGCGAAAGGGCAGCGTAGCGCCTTGGTGAACTTGACAGGTTAAGTATAACAGGTTGAGATGTAACATCAGAGGATGCTCCATGCCTTGCTTGGTAAAACAGGTTTTCATAGCTTCGTCCACGAGGCACCGATTGCTCTCTGTCATGCCGTGGATATAGAATATTGTCCCAAGACTTGGAGTGGTTTTTGACCTCTGCTCCTAGTCGACTTGTTTCCACACAGCTGTTAGTAAACCAAGGGGGTATAGTGGGGTCTTGTCTTACTCTTAGTGGTGTGTGCTGAGAGGACTGGTTAGAGTAACCAGATATACTTGAGCGATACCAGTCATCTGAAAAGGCCTGGGACATGCGAGGGCGTCTGCGACCCTCTGTATGATATGGCCTTGATGGAAGGTACTGCTCCTCAGGAGAGCTGTACGGTTTGGGGTAAAACAACCTTGAGTTACTCGTGTGGTAAGGATTGAAGCGGTTGTCCTCTCCATAGTACAATCTAGACAGTGGAGATTGCGAAAAGTATGAACCTGCCTCACTTGTGGAGTAAGGCCTACTATAGACAGAGTGTGCTGGCTCTCTGTTGGAAAGATGGTCTGTGTAATACGACCTGACAGGAAGGGTGTGCACCCAACGAGTCCTTGGATCATACTGACTAGTCATTGTACTACCATGGCTGGTTAAACTGGACCGATCATCCTGAAAGTATGTTCTAGAATAGGGATGGACTGGATACCGAACAGGATCCTCTGTATAGAAAAACTTGGTTGGTATGTTAGGATTTGAGTAAGCTCTTTGTTCTTGGCTCAGATATGGTGCTGTTGGTGATGGCATTCTGTGCATGTCTAGATGCTGGTAAGAGATGGGAGACATGCTGGTGGTATAGTGGTATCCTTGTCTAAAATCGCCACTGTAGCATTCACTTGGAGTGGGCGTTGGTGAGGAGACAATCTGTCGTGGTACATACAAACCTCTACTGCTACTGGCCTGGGAGTATCTCTGCCAAAGATGCTCGGGTCGTACATTGGGAACCTGCCTAGATGTATGCTGCAGTACAGCCGCATCTGGTTTAATGTCCACACGGCACCTAACATGAGGGGTTAGGGCTGGTTTATCTGGTTTATCCTCCTCAAAACAGTCTGAGACATAGAGGGGAGAATGAGGCTGCAGTTTGATAGGATGCACATCATTCAAAAAAGCCCTGTTTGAGTAGGATTCTCGATGTGTTTCAGAAGTCCTCAAGGTATCTGACGCAGTTTGAGGCGCATCCCTGCCCTTTCTGGCTCCTGGAGGAGATACTGAGATGGGCACAGGAGTGAGGGTGGCCTTAATTCTTGGAGTGCTTTTAGATCTTGTTCTCTTTTTAGAATCTGACCATGTAAGATGAGTGGTTTTGTCCTGGGTGGTGTGCTGCTGGAACTGCCTGGTGTTGAACAGATCAGGAGACGAAAAGCGAAGGTGACCCGGCTGATCTAGTCCATTCCACATTAGATCTTTGTTTAATGTCTGATGCTCAGCCCTCTTGTAAGGGTACTCCATTGAGGAAGAGAAGGACTGCGGGTCATCCAGTGACTCGATGAAGTCGAAGCTACGGCAGTGTCTTTTGTTGATGATTTCTGGTTTGTCGATCATTTTCAAGTCACATTGCCGGGAGGAGTGGAGAGAAATGGAGTGGTCAGTAAGGGGATTTAGAGTAAAGTCCCGATATAGAGTCGATGCCAGTATATCAGGGGGATGCGTTCGTGTCATCTTAAAATAACTTAGATGCTCTCCATTCAGTGTGATTCAAAATCAACACAGCCTGTGGAAAGAATGAGAGAAGAAAACACTTACAAATACACTTCAATGCAATTTAAAGTATGTGAGCTAAATGTTACGCAAAAAAGATACAGTCAGTAATTTTTACAGTGGGATCACTTCATATTTCATTAGTCTGTGAACCTAATCTCAATTTACATTTCGAAATCATTTTAATGATTTTTGTTTAACTGCATCTATAAAGCTGAATCAGATGTAAGTGACCACCTGACCACATGATACAGATACCTGTAATGATGACGTGTGTATAAAAGGGATGTACTGTTGTTGCTCATTTACCAACCAAGTTAATTTCATGCCAACAGCCACAACATTATATCTGACCAATGTGACAATTAGTGATTATTTAAGAAATCTTGAGTTCATTTAGCATATTTGAGGTGGTGGTTTGTTAGTAAAACATAAAAAAGTGTACTTTTAATTTTATTTAAAATCTTGTCTGGAAGGCCTGTCCAGGGTGTACCCCGCCTTTCGCCCAATGCCAGCCCATTCATATGTCATAAATAAATAATATATAGACAACTGCCGTCCAACTATTTTTAAGGCTTTCAAAAACTATTATGGACAAAATCATTCCATTTCAACAATGGATTTATGTGTCACACACACACATGGGCTTTCTTGTTGGCACCCACCCACGAGCTAACCCTGAGTTACCATCTGTTCATCGTGAAGAGAGAGGACTGACCAGCCATCTCCCTGTCATGTCTCCACAACACACCTAAATATCACGTCTGTTCACACACGACCAACCTCGACAGACACTGTTATTCACTGCTTTGCTTGGCTATTCTTTTATGTTTCAAATACATATTGCAGAATACCTGTATATGTATTTTACTGCTCTTAAAAAGAAACACAGCAGCTGCATACAAGGAATATTTATTTAATTTAAAACAACTTCTAGATTTCCAGATTACATGCATGGGTTATGAGTGGGTAAAAACAATGCAAATGAATAACAGAGCTTTCCTTTACATTTATGATGACTAGAGCTGCAACCATTATCCAATTAGTTATCAACTATTAAATGAATCACCAACTATATTAATAAATTATTAATTGATTTATTTCTGTACTCCTCTATGACTGTAAACTGAATATCTTTGGGTTGTGGACAAAACAAGACATTTGAGGACATCATCTTGGGCTTTTGGGAAACACTGATTGACATCTTTCACCATGTATCGAGAAAATAATCGACAATATAATCATTAGTTACAGCCCTAATCATGATTTTGAACTTATGAACTTCTATATAGTAGTGTATTCATGTAGTGTGTGTGTTTCAACTGAACAAGTAATTCAAGGTATCAATTTGGATTACTAAATTCAACAATTGCATAACAATGTAGTTAAGAAATGCATTGTAGTTTAAGAGCAAATTTCCTCATATTTTCAAATCCTGTAAAAAGAATAACCTTTTGAAAAAATCTAGTGTTCTTAAAAATAAATGTTACATACTGTACTATTATCAGCTGTTCTGTCAACATTGGGAGTATGGTCACTGATGTCTAATTGCTGGCTGAATATCATTAAAATATGAATACCAATCTGGAACTAATTCTGTGTCACTTGTGCCAATATAGCAGGAATACATTCATTATTAATATCCTATCCTATAAGTAAAGAATATGTAAATTATGATGGGATGGATACTGAAACTATTTAAAGTATAAGCCACTACATAGGGGAAAAGTTACTTAAATCCATCTTACTTTCAATTTTATATTCTTCTGGGTTTAAATGAATGAGGTGATGTGTCATCATCATTTTATTACACAGTATTAAAAAATAAGTCTAATAAGGTACAGCAGGTAGCCTAACAGGTGACCATTCAGTAGTTCACTACCACAATCCATGTGTCTTCATTAATAGTTATGAACAATAGCTCCCACTGTAATTATGTAAGTCTACAATATGTCACTATTGACATCACTGCTGACCACCACAGACAGGCTTTTTTAAATTCCCTTTAGAAATATTAGGTTTTTTCTTTCTTTCCCCTTTCTTTCTTTGTAGAAAATTGTTAATGTGTTTGATCCCACTGATATAGTAGTTACTAAAGATAAGACACAATAGCAGATTTGTTTTTTAAATGAGTGGACAGGACAAGATGCTTAGACTAACTGAGTGCATGCATTCCTCCCTCTACTTATCTTCATGGTCTAAGGCTGTTCTTCAGTGGAGGGACTACACGTACTAGCCCGAGTATAAAACCACATGCCACATACTGTCTCCATGGCTACAGCACACAGCAAAGAAACCATGAAACACTCCTGGAGTTGCACACCGAGGGCACAATTGCAGTCTGAAAACGTGGACTCTTAATCAGTATGAATTGCTTTGATGTTCTCTGAGGGCAAAACCCACAAGTGCGACTTTATATTAACCTTATCAAAGAATGCACCAATACTGACATTAGAACATATTAATAGAACCAAAGGCTGTAGGCTAGTTTTTTTTTCCTGCGCTATATTTTGTTGCATGGTTATGATTCTACACAATAATAATATCTGGACTCATATTGATTTGCTTGCCAGTTTGTAAATAAAAACAACTTCGAAGACTGTGTTCTATTTGCAAGGTTTTCCGGACAATAACAAATGCGACGCAGATTCGCTGAAACCTCCCCGTGGGACCAAACCAGGGCGCATTCAGCCTTGAAGCGTTACCAAATACTTGCTGTAACGCACTTGGGCAGCCCTTTTATTTTGGTGCTGCGGCACGGACGGCCCTGCATCCTTTGTGGCTGACCTAATGCCTTTGAGCCCGGAATGTCATCCTTTGCGTGAAAAGAAAGAAGCAGCGGGTTCAAACCAGGACAGAGGGAGGCAGAAAGGGAGAACGACTTTGGCCAAGTTTGAAAATGTAAGATTTCGCGAGTGAACGAGGGGCCTTACCGTCTCGCCGGTGAGTGGATCGGATGCGGTGGACATGGTGGAGCAGCAGCCTGTACTCCGTGATGTGTAGCTTCACCTATCGCACCTGCTGTGAGCCTGCTAGAGCCGTGCCGTCCTTCATGCTGCCTTTACATGTTGTCTGTTTCACCCAGCGATGCTCTCACACTCGCGTATGCCTCTATGTGTGTTTTGTGTTTGTGAGTGATGGAAGGGAAGGAGGAGGTGTGTCTGAGCCTGCGCTTGTGCGCGTGCCTCTGGAGGCGTGGTTGTGCGTGTTTTTATGGGAGGTGATGGTGGGGGGGGGGGCTCAGTCTCGGAGCAGCAATGCGGTCTCTCCGTTCATCTCTGAACATGGAGCCCTGAGGACAACTGCATGGACATTTGTGCTGGCTGCTTGCTCATCCTGCACAAGGTGCTTTGTAATCAGGTTTCATCATGAGGCAAAGCAATTCTGACATTTACATTTTTAGAAAGTATGCAGACAGACAAAAAACTGCCTGCAAAAATTGTCCTCTCCTACATTTGACTGGTCACTTTGGCTCTTCTTCCTACACTACTGGACATGTGTTAGACATTAGAAAAGGCATGTGCCAATATACTTTCATTTTGTACTATAGCGTGCCATTAGTGATGTGCATGTGATGGAAGGCTGCAACTAAGGATTGCTTTCATTATCCATGAAAGTGCCACTTATTTTCTCTTTTAATAAGTGTAAGAACAATTTGAAAAATGCCTGTTATAATTTCTCATAGCCCAAGCTTATGTCTTCATGTATGACAAAGAAAAGCATCAAATTGTAAACTTTTAGAAGCTTCAACTAGCAAATGTTTGTCTTTTTACATGGTAAAATTAATTTATTTTTATCAGCTTATCGATTAATCATCTAATCGTTGCAGATCTAGTGTGATGGACAGTTCATCCAAACTTGACCTGGATGGCCTAGAATTGCTTCTCTAATTATGACCTAAAGTCTGGAGACTAAAGAAATCTGAGAACTTGTACATACATTCAGATTGGCACCTGACGAAATGCTGTTGTACCCCATTGTAATCGTCCTTGATACAACATGATTTTGTTACAACAAAATGTTCTTTCTTGCTTGCACAGCATCTTTGTTATTGGCAATCTTGCAAGGTTAAGAATCAGTGACATTATGCTTTCCCTAGCCTGCCCTGTTTCACACACATCTGCCCCTGAGTCTCACCTCGCCACAGCCTTCTGCATTGTCTGAACTGATGATGGGGACAGCTGGCTGTGAGCCCCGGAGCATGTGACTGCTGCTGGAAAACTGCTTACTAAAGCACTCTCACGGCAGATAGAAATCACCACAGACAAACTGTGCTGATCAGGCTGAAGATCACAATGATACTTAGCTGTGACAGAGCTCATTTTGTTACAGAATAGAAAAGTGTTGAGCTGCTTGTGCACAGTAGATGATTCACATTCTATTAGCTATACTTTTCCTGCCTGTATCCTGGTTACAAAACACCATAGCTAACCGAGACTCCATCTGTGACTTACCACGTGTATGAGATATGATTCAGAATGACAGTACAGTGGATCTCACATTGTGCCGCATCCAGCATCCCTGAGAGTGGGATCTATCTGAGCATGTGTGACTCACCCTCTCTAGCACAGTGCATTGGCATCAGTTTGTGTCAGCTGTTGGTTAGCAGGCATAAGTGTCTGTCAGCTGGCTGCTAGCAGGTGTCTGAGGCACCTCGTAGGCTCTGCGGAGAGGAAATCAATGGCTTTCTGTTGATTAGAGGCCCCTCTGGCAGGGATCAATCAGGCTTATACCACCACAAAGTAACAACATTAAAGCAGAACGCTGCTTAACTCTGCCTCCACTGCTCAAACAAGCTTTCATGCTGCTCTAACATATCAGCCATAATGAGCCATAAGGAAGAATCTGGACATTCTGCTTTGTTCCTACACTGGTCCTCACTCATGTTGGCACAGTAAACAACCTTCAGTTCTACAGCTGTCTCCAATTAACTCTATGTACGATTAAGTGACTCTCTACAAACTTTCTTTCTGATTTCTGTGTTCCCATTGGTGGGAATTACATAAGAGATGCGGGGATGCACACACATCCAGGCCCATTGCTTAGAAAGTCCAGCCCAAAATAGCCAGTGTGGCAGGCTAATACAAAGCAACCCTCAGCTTTGGTTATTTTGGACTGTAATGAGATGTCAGAAGAAACAAGGAAAACACATTAGATCTGCAATGTTAAGGCAAACACATTTCAGCTCGTCTGTTTCACACGGAATCCCCAGGGAGGCCAGGGATGTTGCCATCGGTCCCTGTAGTGGTAAATATTTCACACAGCCAGAATTAGACCTCTAAGATAGACATATGTTTGAATGTGGGAGGTTCCTTGAGATCTTATGGGACCCTTTCATGCCCTGTATGAAATATGCATATACCCTGATTCAGTGGACTGAAATGCAGCAGCAGTGAAGTTGAAGACTCAGTGGGAGATGCACCCAGTCTTCCCTTAATTCCAAATGAACCCTGATTAAGTCCTCAACAAATTAAACCACTCAATCCTCTCCTTCCAACTTTCTTGCCAGAGACATAATTTACAGTTGTGGCGTTCCATATAGGCCGCACACCACTCAGACTGCGTGTTTTTGTGAGGAATTAGATGTGACCAAGTATTTGGATGTTTTTTTTTTTGGCTCAGCATGGGACTAAAGAAGCCACATTGGCGTAGCTTTGATTCCTGGTGGATCAGACTAGATTATATTCAGCGGATTGTTAGATTCTTCCGGGGTGCACTGGAGTTACTACATGAACTCTTGACTAGTGTCCTCATGTAGCTGATACTGCATGATATAAAGATGGGAAATATTTGCGAAAGACACGATTTCATGATCACTCCCTGAAGAAATTTTGACAAAATGGGCTGCTCTGCATCTCGAGGCTTGAAGACTTGAATAAAATAAAACAGAAAAACCATTTCCATGTAATTTTCCTATGCTTAATTAGCAAATTGTGTTTATTTTGGCTGCACAAAAAAGAACATTCCAATCCACTCCAAGTAACACTCATAAACAAATTCATGCACCAGCCAGACCATTTGGGAGCGGTATCCATGGCAACCCACACTGAGTAGGAGCAAAAGAGACTGAATTGATTTCAAAGGGAATGAAGTAAAGTGCTGATGGGAGTCTTCCATGGAGACCATAAAAATCTACGTCACGAGGATAAGACGAAGGGAGGCGAAAATTGCTTGTAAACCCCCAACAATCTGCAAACGCACCGCAGGAGGGATTCAGCAGTGCAGCTTTACATCGACAGTACATTTAGTGGCAACACAGAGTGTGGAAGATAATATAAGGTTTACCATAAGGAGAGCCCCTCTGGCAGCCTCACGGTGAAATTAAGACAGGAAGAAAGACCTGCGCTCATGTGGGCATATTCTCAGATCCTCCTCTCAGTACATGTAGGTCAAAGTATAGTGTAGATATTATTCACAGCTGCACTGAGCAAACACAAACTCCTCTGTCCTGGTCTCTGGAGTCACAGTAAGACATCCCATGGTGAGTCTTAATTAAATCTTTACTCGACACTCCTCTCTCATCCTTCATCATCTGCCATTTTGGCTAAGGAATCATTCAGTCATGTGTGCAATTTTATTAAAGGGGAAAAGCATTTGGAACAAAGACACGGGCCTCTTGCTGGGTGCAGTTTCTTTCTGAGGGCTCCTGGCGGTGTGAATTATTTGTGGTGCATTGTCACTATGATATTGTTATGTAACAACATAGAAACAGAATGCAGTTATATTACAGTTAAAGTGAAATGAGCAGATCATATTTTCAAACACTGATTGAGGTCAGCAGGAAGTTTTATAATGCAGGGCTGTAATCAAGGTCCTGCTATTCAAGACTGGACAGACAACAAATCTTTTGTTCCTCGGTTAGAAAGAATCAATGAGGTCCCTGTAAATATGGATATCTCTAACTCTCCATCCCACAGCAGTACAATGCAAAGCAGTACTGAGTTGCACTAATTGTGCAAGGCTGTAGGCCTTGTATAATAGCTGTAACAGCCACTCTTTCCCATTCAAAGACAACCATCTGATTGCTGAATAAAACAACTGAATTGTGAACTGACATTAGCTTTTCATAAAAGAATGTGAATGATTGAGAACACTTGGTTATATGTGTTCTGTCTGACCATCTGAAATGGATTAAACAAATGTGATTTGTCTGCCCCGGCCTGCAATATTTCCCATCCACCCAACATGTGTATATTAGTTTTGACACTTAATGTATGTAATTACACATTCTGGTTGGCAGTTGCTATCCAGATGCACCTGTGCTCGCAGCTTCTTCGGGCTGTTTAAATGGGTCAGCTCTAGAAATATCCTGGCTCAGAGAAGAAGTCGTGAATGCCCCTCCCCTTTTGTCTTCTCTCTGTCCATAACAGAACAAGAGAAACGATGGCAGTACTCTTGAATCCTTTATTTGTGACCTGCAAAGTCATACCAGTTGTATTTGAATGATTACACAACACCTCACATGAATGATTGTAGTGAGAAAATCACAATTTCTGTTGTTTTCTCGTGAATGGGTGGCTTAGTTTGCCAGAGGGTGAAAAACTATGTCCAAAACAGCCTGCTGGGTTAACCCTAACCCTAAAGTCAAAGGTCCTAGCAAAGAACTGACTCTTTCACACACACCACTCACAGTTTGAACTTATGCTGACCTTACAAATATTAGATGCCATAAAGTAAAATGTAATTATCTTCCAGAACACATTTAATATGAAATCATGTCTTTCCTGATCAGATGAGCATCTTAACTGCTGATCAAATCTAGATTTGTTACAAGAGAGTAGTTTGGCCCCCAGGGCATCTAGATAAGAGATGCAAGCCAGCAGACAGAACTTTAAAACCACACTGACCTTTCATGAGCGAGCTGCTATATAACATCCTGCTTGCAAATTGCATTTTGCACTCCAGACACTTTTGTCTCCAATAAAAACTTTCAAGGGAAAAAGAAATTGAGTGATCCATTTAGAGATTAAAATTGAGCTCTATCCCTCACTGCAAAAGCCTACCAACAAAAACCATTTTGACAGGGCAATTCATTTTATAATTGGAGAAAGTACAAAATCTAAATTTTAATGTATTTGTTTCAGCTGTAGATGCAGTCATTGATTTGTACAAAACAAGGCAATGAAACACTGATTCTTTTGACTGTGGGGTGCATAAAACTATTGGCTTCTCTCAGCTGCAGCTGCTGCATTCAGATTTGCAGACCTAATGAATATCCAAAAGATACTGGAATATAATACGTGTGTTTTTTCTCAAACAACATGAATGGTGAGTGGTGTTTAGGGACATGTTTAATAGGATTATGCACACATTGGTATTTGTGTTTTCTATGTGATTATGACTCAGAATTGTGACATTAAATTGTATGCCTCAGGAGACACAATGAAAATGAGACCTCATTGGAGTTTATAACACAGTAGAAGACGAAACTCTAATAAAACTCGTCAATCGATCAATCTCTGAATAGTCAGTAAGTTACTAACATCTAATTTTGTAAAAAAAAAACAAAAAAAACAGATAATATTCTAAGCAGTTGAACTGAACGTGTTTTTACTTGGTTGTGTGAGACGGATGCACTTCCAGTTCTAATCAAACCGATCATAAAGACGTAAAAACAAAAAACATAAAAGGGTACGCTCATAACACCAGTGTAAAATGAACTACATAACCTGATTAATGGTTATGGTAGTCAGACTGCAGGCCCACACCACCTTGTGGTCACATTAGCTTGCACTGTTGCTCAGTTTACAGTTGCATACATTATCAATTTCACAGAATGTTTTATTGCTTTAAACAGAGGATCAAGCCCTCTTCCAGACATTATTATTAACTTGAACCTGAAATACTCACTGTTCCATGTTCAGTCAACTATAATAAATAAATCAATAAGTCATTGTTGATCATAGACTTTATTAGACATGTGCATGTTCTAATAACACACTCATTTTCACATAATATAGCTACATTGCATATAACATCAAATCTATTTTTTTTTTTTTACATTTAATTCAATAATCCACCATGATTTACATTATGTAGTATCTTGTTTTTTGATTGACAAAAACCTCAGCTTTTTGATTCTTGCACTTACATTTATGATTCAGGCAGGCATCGACTGACAATCAGTTCCACTCAGATTTGTAAGGATTTAATCTTTTCACAATGATTATACAATGCATTTAGAAAACAATCTATCAAACTACCTGTAACAAAATAAAACGTACATTCACTGTCAAATATATTCACCATAAATAATGTAAACTTTTCAAAAGAAATAAATGTGAATATAAAACATAAATACATAAAACTATTTCCCACTTCTCAGGAGGTGCCATGGTAAATGGTATGTCTTAATATGGCCAGGAGGCCTCTGAGTGACAGAATGACATTTTTCAAAGTTAACCATCCATGCTAATTGTGATGGCTCATTTTTATAAATTACACACTCAGTAACAATTACACAAGGCTCTTACTGATTCTCTTGGTAATAGGCTGTGCCACGATGAATCTGAAAGCCATGTACTCACACTGAGTGACTTTAAAATTTCAAAATGAAGCCCTAAATCACTAATGCATAAACTTTTACAAGCCCCAGATAGTTTTGTGTCATAGAAAAAAATTAAGCATGTACAAAATAATTTAAACCAAATAAATCCCTACTTTGAAAGGGAAAGGAAGAAAAACAAGAAAAACTTAAAGAGATATATAATATCAACAGCACAAATAGCAGCAAGGGAAAAAGGTGACAATCTGCATCACTCAGAGCTCTGTACAACACATCTATTTGGTTTGACAGTTACAGAACAACATTCACACATTTATGCACCATTGAGCACAAGGGGTCACTGTGGCTACACAAATAGACTGACAAACACAGGCAGCATGGAGAATCTGCAAGGGAACCAGGACTCCTTTATACTTTTGGCTATTGGGTCTTCTCTAAAAAGCATGATATTGCCATACTACATCCACATTCAAATGGAAAGCACTCCTTCTGGAAGACATTTTAGTGCCTGCAAACAGAATTGTTTTTTTAGTAACAGCTGGGATTTTCAGAGTAGTGATCAAAGAAAGGGTTGTCAGTACGAAGGAGGTGTGGCAGGAAATGTTCAATCTACTGCAGAGGTGCACAGTTGACATTCCTGTACCTTTACATTATTTCATTTCTGTATTGTATAGCCTCTTCTTACAGACTTTCAACACGTTTAAAACCCGGGAGGCATACATGAAAGCAGAAACTCTGATGCACTGTATGATACAGACTCAGGGTTAGAGTTACTCAAGTGCAAAATCACAATGCACTGACTAACTGCTAAACCCTAAAATCAACCTGCCATATTCCACCAACTTTCTGTACATCCATTAAATTTGTAGCTAGTTTACAGTCCAAAGTTTTACATTGCATTGCTTTGAAATCAAGCAAATATGAAATGACACTGTCTGTACATAATCAAAATTTTCTATACCTGGACAGTTGCCAACCCTGCCTATGCTGTATCCTAATATACCACATCTGTATACCCAGACACAGCAGCACCCAAGAGTCAGAACACCAAGTTGTTGCTTTATCAACTGGCGGAGGAATAAACCTGAAAATATAGACTTTATACATCAGTCGGTGTCACTGTATTCAAGTATAATATTTGCAGTTTACTCTGTGTGCAAATGCATCAGAAATAATAAAAACATTCTACCTCATTAAAATGCATGCTTTTCCTTCATTACTGGTAAACAACCACAATAAAACTGTAATGGAAGACCCTCACCCACATACAAGTGTCACAATCAATTGGACATCCCTGAGACAACTCCATTTGATCTGACGTTCTTGTCTGTGTAAGGCATGCTTTCAAGGTGGAGGGCTTTCGGGCTTTTGAAAATGGGAAGAAAAGTGGCAGCAACAACATACTCACAACACCTACTAGGTTAATTTGCTAACTAATTCAACTACATGTGACAACACAGTTACAAGCGCCAATGTCAGGGGTTGGAAAATGCAACCATTGCCTCCTGTTGACATGCAGCTAAGACATCACCATGAGCGGTCAACAGCTCGAACAGATCTCGCATTAGCTAACACTGGACATCATATGTGCGCAGCTGTGCTGAGTTAGGGACTGTACAAAAACTATTAGGGGTGGAGGGGTTCAGAAAAGGGGGGTATTGTAACAGGGAGGAGGGGTCAAAATGTTGGGAGAGCAAATATTTTATATTTGTGAGGGTACATAAAACAAGTTAAATCTAACAGATGTTGTTTAATGTGTGCAATGGATTGGCCTGTTGACATATGCAGAGGATATGGAGTGGGGTGAAAATATTGCAGTGCACAAGCCCTTCAGCTCAGAGCTTTTGTGGCTATTGTAACAGTTTATTAAACAGCTCTTTATTAAAAAATAGAGTGGCTGTATTTTCACTATTTTATTATGTTATAAATATATTATTTTTAGATGTTGAATAACACTGGGGAGACCCTTGCTTTTTAATGAAATCAAATATACGATTCATACCTCGTCCCCTCTACAATAATTTTTGTACAGTCCCTTAATTCATTTGGTTGGCCGTCAAACCAACCGTTATTCTAACATAGAGATCACAATGACTATACGGCACCAACAAACAAGTGGGAGCAGTATTGTGTTTGTTTTGTGTTTTGTTTCTTTATTTTTGTGTATGTGTTCATGCATATACAGGCTTTTGCGTGGTGTTGTTTGTGTGACACAAATAGTAGATGACTTACTTAAGCTCGAGGCAAGGCAAGGAATGTTTTAGACATCAGTGCCTAAATTTACTGTGTATTCTACTTTTTTGTTCATTTCAAAAGGTTTTAACAATTTAGGCAGTGGGTTTCAAGTGTGCACATTGTCATATCAGGGTCAATGTACATGAATTGGAGGCGGCATTGTGTTGGTCCTTGTCAGTTGGGGGAATCTTGCCCTTCAGTTTGCCTGTCCATCTTTCTGTCAGTAGGAGGAGAGTAGGGGGGCTTATGCCGTCTCAGTCTGAGAAGAGACTGGCAAAAGATTTGCGTAGATTGCGTATGGTTTCAGCCTTCACCTCGTCCTGGCTAAGGCTGGCTCGTGGCGCTGGGGTTTCTGGAATGTTGAAGGTATTGGTAAGAGACTGGGACTTGCTATAAAGAGAGGAAATGGCAATAGAGGAGAGGGAGAGGCTATTAAAGTCATGCAGCAAACTCATGGGACGAAAAGACTGGAGCACGGCAAGAAAGAGAGAGAGAGACGGGAGAGAAAAGGATCAGTAAAAGATGATAAAAGCGCATTCATTCTCTATGGTCATTCAGTATTACCTTATCATTTCAAGTTAGCTTTGATATGATATGAATAGTGAATGACTTTTCTGGATGCAAAGTGATGCATGTTGGGGTTTTTTATCAGCGACTGATGACAAGTGTGCTATTTGTCCATGAAAGCCATCAGCTGGAGAATGTATTGACCACTAAGGCAGAAGCAATCATACAGATTTTTTTGCAGCGAAAACCTTTGACTAAATATCTAAAGTGTTCAACAAATACAGATGAAATGTAAGTGGGAATTTGTTTTAATGTAGTGGTTTAAATTCGGTAGTAGTAAATCAAATATGTTAATCCACCCCAAATTATTTATATAATATAACAATAATATTGCATATTTTAATAGTTTCAAGAATTATTCAAATCAATATAGCACAATTGATATTTCTGTTATAAATTAATGCTTTGTACAATAGCATGTCAACTGAAAAGGTCTGATTAAAAAACAACATCTGAAAGTATATAAAAGTTTAAAACATACAGAGTAATTAACTATATCAATGGCCTGATACAAAGATAAAACTGATTTAAAAGTAGGATTTATAGAATTTGGTCACATGTGGCCTAGAACATGGATTTTGGCAAATGTGATCTATTATGGTTGTGCTGCTGCAAGGCAGCCTCCACTTGTTGTTGTATTAATGTATCACATTCTCTCCAGACAATCTGAAATGGTATGTTTTGTGAAACTGCTGCTGAAGGACTGAAAAATGTAATAATCAATAAATCATGCACATTCAGGTGAATCATTCATCGATGAAGAGCATGAGTAGACTTCCCATGTGGCATGCGTATCTCAGTGCAGGCAAAAAGTAAGACAGGATCTTCTGTTCAGGTCAGCTGTAAGGTTTGCTTTATGAAAAATGAGATGAAACTGACCCCAATGAAGTATCATATAATTACTTACTTTAGTTGTGGAGAGCTGCCCATAGTCGGGTTGTCCTGACTGGGCTTGTTTGGGGGCTGAGGCTTTTGCTGCAGCGGTGGTCGTCCCCCTGGGGCCCCATGGCCTTGAGCAGCAGGACGGGGCTGCTGGGTAGTGGCTGCTCCTGGACGACCTTGCTGGCCAGGAGGCCTCTGTTGCTGTGGTCCCCCCTGTGATTGCTGCCTAGGGGGCTGGGCCGGCCTCTGCTGCTGTGGTTGGCCTGCTGGGGGTTTTGGGCCCGGGCCTCCTGCAGATGGTTTCTGCTGCTGCTGAGTGACAGACTGTTGCCTCTGAGCTTGAGGTGAACCTCCCTGGCTTCGTTGAGGAGAGCCCTGACCAGAGGGAGGTCTCTGGCCTTGAGGAGTTCCCTGACTTGGTGGCCGAGGCTGGGCTGCAGGTCCTTGGCTAGCCTTAGCCTGGGCACTGGGGTCACCGGTAGCAGGGCTGGCAGCAGATTGCTGTGCCTGGGCAGGAGGTTGGCCTTGAGGCTGTGGGCGCTGCTGAGATGGGGGACTATGCTGAGGACCCCCTACAGAAGAAAAACAAAAAGCAGCATTCAGATACTTTCCTAATACTCACGCCTTGTCTTGTAAATAAATAAAAAATATTTGTAAACATAAACAAATGGTGTCATTTTCACTTTTTTTGTTATTGTGAATAAGTCAAGTTCTTACCCTGAGGAGAGGGGCGCTGTAGAGCCTGTGGTACTCTGGGCTGTGAGACAGGCTGAGGAGACACTGCTTTCTACAAAACACCCAGGAGTTAAAGGGCAGTAAGTAAATATTGATCAAACAAGGAAGTAAAAATAAATAGCTAATGATATGCTCTAGAAAAAAAGTTTGACAGGAAGTTTTGCTCAAGCCTAGTATCAAAGACTGTAGAAATACAATCTGCAATTCTACAATCATTACACTAACTGCTGACTTAAATGTTCTTATGATACTTAAGGCATTGCATTGATATACACCACATATACCTGGACATGTACTGTATGTGTTCACTCATAACCTGTTGATACATATAGTCTGTATATATATGCAGTACATATTGTACATCTGGTATCACCCTTCTATTATAATTATGTAAGTTTTATGCCTACTGTGCCTATTGATTTTTTTGTGCTTTGTTTACATATTCCCATTTAAAGTAAGATGTTCTTAGAAATCTTGTGTGTAATGTGCACCCTAAATAGAAACATGCCTGACTTGACATATATTCGTAATAAAAGTCGGGGAAATTACAAAAGGTGCTAGATAACTGGAGCAAGTTTGGAGTATCTGCTGTTTGAGCACCTGTGCTGGCTGTCCTGCAGTGGCACGGACTGTGGATGGGCTTGAAGTGCGAGGAACAGCCTGGTTCATCTTACACACCACCAGCTCTGCAATCTGAACACGATCCTCCTCCTGCTGGTCCCCAATCAGTGGCATTGAACAGTCATCAACCTAAAAATCAACATGGATGATGGATTTAATGGATTTCCCTTATGATTGAAGATAAATATTTCCATGATATCATTATAGTGCCTTTAGTACCTCGATAATGTAGTCTTTGCCATCTTTACCGTGTAGAGCCTCCACAGCACAGATATCCAGCCCCCCAAAGATGTCAGCACAAGAGTCCACCCACAGCCTGTATCTAATTATAAGATGTTAAACATAGCTATAACAGCACAGTGAGACATTATAAGATACACAGTCTGATCTTATCTGCATTTATGAGCTCTTACTTGTCTGACATGGCCACCTGTTCAAGCATAGATGAGCCAGTGTTGGTTTTCCAGTTGCCAGAAATTGATGTTCTCCTGTTAATAAGAATTAAACAATGATTTTCATGTACCATTATTTTCATTTGCTATAATAACATACCAGTGTGTTGGCCCTTTTGTAGTAGTCTGAAACTGAAGACAACAGAATCCTAATTTCACTCACATGTAAGCTTTGTAATTGTCCCCAATCTTCTGGATGCGGACATCATACTTTGCATCAATGAAGGGCTCAGAAGTAGCATAAGTCTTGGTCAGTGCCACAACACTGGCAATATCTTGAAAATCGTATTGATTGTCCACTTTCACCTGGGGTAGAAAAGGTCAAAATATAAATACACTGGCATACATCAGTCCCAGAAATATTGTGTTCATATTGAACTGAGCCAACACTTGAGTACTCCTACCTTTCCCATTCCTGAGTGAGCATGGCCCATCTTTATCACTACAGGGAACCGAGGAGAGGTGATCTGAAACAAGAGCATTATCACATACTCGGGTGTCTCAAATGAACTTCATTATAGCAGTGTAATGATTAAAACACTAATGTTTATTCCATTTCAATAAAAAGTAATTCACACATAACACCCCTCCTCTATTTTTGTAGGAAATTCAGATTCATATTGATGGCTTGAAAGCCAGCCGAGTACTGTCAGCCTGTGACTGCAGGGGTGGAGATGACTGCTCAGCACCAACAGACTCAATTTAACTGTATTGACAGTGACGGCACACAAATAATAAAATTTCTGCCTCTACCCGGAATGAAAAAAAAACACACTCCCCAAAAATTTGATCAATCTCTGCTGCTACATGAGACTGAAAATGTACACGGACGTGAATTACCCTCCTAAAATGTGACCAGTTGAGAGGGACAGACTGTCTGTGTGTGTCTCTTTAAGGGTTGTGTAGCATTAAGACATACCCACCAGAACAAGTGGAAAGGGGGAGGGGAGCAGATGGCAAAGAACTCACCATCTCCTTGTGGTTTGGATAGTAAACCTGCTCTATCAGTGGGAACTCCTCTGGGCCCACTTGCTTGTGGAGTCTAGACATCTGCGCAAACTAAAACAGACAGAAATATTTAGAATGGAGCCTTTGTAATGCAAAATTTAAGTTTTTTAAGTTTATATAGCTAAATTAAACAATGCTTACCACCCATGGTTTGTCACAGAAATTGTAGACCGAGTGCAAAGAATTAACACTTGGCAGTCCAGCATACTGCAATCCAATCACCATGTTCCGGTGGTCTCCATTTTTGTCCATGCTGAAGGCATGCTGTCTGATCAGCACAAAGTCTGGCTTAAATGACCTGGGACAGAGGACATTAGGAAAATATTAAACTGCATTGCCAGACCAGTTAGCAGTTATGAGGAACTTCTATTCAGGGTATAGTGGAATTTCAGTAGATTTCAACATAATCTGTAACTTGCAGCAGCACGGTGGATTATCAAACTTTTTTTAACTAGAATATTTTACAAAGTACTTACTTAGTAACCTTGTGCCCATTCCTGATCGCATCAATGTCCACATTGTAGGTGCCTATGGAATTGGCCACCAGGTTGATTTCAGAGAACTCTGCCTAAAAGGACAATGTCACAGTCAATCCCCAACAAACGCCATATAAAACACTGTGATCTGAGCAGGAGGGTAGTGTTTGACTACCTATTCTACATGAGCCAGGTTGAATAGGGAACAATTACAAGATGGGAGACTTTATCTGAAGAAGTGCGCTCTTCCTGTTTAGAGCCACAGGGGAAATAATTGAAACGTAAGCTCAACATGAAGCAGAGACAAAAATAGGAAGGGAGGAAAATGCCTCAGGCAGAGAAAAAGATTTAAAAACTTTCAAAGTGCTGTTGGTTTGGTGGATTACAGCATAAATAGCCAATGACACATACTATATTAATGAATATTCTTATAAGGCTATACATTACTATAACCAAATTTACCAAGATGATTATTGGTGAGTTATTAGGCTACACAAATAACTTATTTATCTTTATAAGAGATTACAATAAAAAGTTTGCATTACACAGAATGGCTTTGTTGCCAAACAAAATAGATTTATCCAAAACAGACGCTGGGACATTTACCTATGATCACAGTAATAGCTCCCATATTGGATGTTTCATCTATTATTTTTTGAAGAGGAAACCGCAAATCATTTTATTTTTGTATCAAGACTGTTTTTGAACAGTACACCTCAGATACAAGTGGACAAATTTATAAGATTTACCCAACAAAATGACTCACCAAGTGAATTACACATGAGACTGCCTCAGAAAATAAAGATATGAAACCAAAATAGGATCAAAGTGAAGACAAAGGATGCATAATATGAGCACAGGGACATTTTTATGCTTTTAGAGAGAAGAATGACCAGCAATAAATACAATCAACTCCTAATGCCAATGACAATGCACTCATCTACAGAGAAAAATAAACCATACATGCTCTTGACATAAAAACATCCGAGATGAGGTTATCCATCAACAAAACACAAAATACTAAAGTCTTATGAAAGAATGATGTATAACCAAATGAGGTTCACAGTCTGGTCACAAGGCTAAGAAAAAATGGGCTGGTTTCTTTTAACTAGTCTGGTTTCTTGTCCTCCTGGCGGGGAGTAAAGAGGAACGCTAACAAAGAATAAAGTAAATAGTCACATAACACCTACCTGTTCTACTTTGATGTCAAATTCACCGTGGACCTTTCTTCCTCTGAAGACCTTCACCCTGCATGTGAAATGAGGATTTGAATCCAATAGTTGTTTGTATCCAGACACAAACATACATTGCATTTAGCAAGTGTCTCCTAATTGACAGCTGACATTTTCTCCAGCATTGCAGAAAACTACTGGCCAATGAAAATGTGATGTCAAATACCTAAAATAAGCTGACATCAATGGAACAAATTGCTATTTTTCACAGCTATGGTATCACAGCTATCTATAAGTGGCTGCTGCTAGATTTTGTTATTACTGTAATAAGTGCTGGCAGTGCATTGGGATTAGGCAGTTTCAGCCCTTTTGAAGGCACCATGCAACATAAACAAAAAGGTTAAGGTAAATTAAGTAGCCTGAGTAACATTATTTTAACCTTGTCTATACATAAAGACATTGGTATATAAAAACCGGTACTTGCATTTTACATCCACCCTGTGAAGTATAAATTTCCACATTCCCTTCCTGTTGTGACAGAATAGGAGAACTACATATCTGCTTAGTTTACTATCACCTAGGGTATCATTCAGAGACAATAGTGTAGTGTTTTATCACCTATGTCTTGGGTGCAAAGCTCTAATGAGCATGCACAATGTGCACTGGTGAGAAGGCTGTACAAACCTGGAGCATATATTTTCCTTGTGCACAACTTGCCCTGACAGCCATTGGATTTGAAAATACCTGCATCATCATGGTGGCATCATCACATTCCTAGTACAATGCCATCACCCTAAGCATTTTAATGTCAGAATGCAAGATTACTTTGACACAAGCAACAGCTTATCTTCAAATGAAAATGGCTTCCCCGCCTTCAGTCTGTGGCACTTTTGCCATGGCACTATCAGCGCAGAAGGCAAGTCTGAGCAAGATGCCAAGGTGGTGTTTCACGTGATATAGGCTATCTCAGAGCACTGGATGAATCATATGACCTTCTAGATGTTAGGCCACTGCAACCCACGGTCTGGCACACATTTCTGTCTAGACGACGCGCAGGCAATGCGCACTGCTCTTACCAGTCGGTCTGCTGGTCGTCGATAACCAGGAGGATCTTGGCACTGCTGGAGACTCCTGCCCGGTCCGCTGCCTCGGATAAGGTCGCAGCCGCCGCAGCTGTGGTCTGTTTGACAGCATTTGATATGGACGAGAAGAAGCCGGAGCCTCCACCTATAGGCTGCTGCTGGCTGGTGGACTGGCGCCTCTCCGACGGCCCTGGCGACACTGCGGGGCTTTGCTGCGGCGGTTCGGGGCGTTGGAGATCGGTCATGTAGCCATTAGGCAGGTTGGACATGAAATTGCTGTCCGAGAGTCGTCGACGCAGGTAGTTCATGATGGAGACTTAGTGAAATAACGGAAAGAGGTGTCCAAATATCCTCCAACTGGATGCGACTTACAACTTCGCGTTCAGTAAGAAAATGGAATGACTAGGCTACGTTTCCATGTGCAGAAACAGGGATCAATGTTACCTAAAGAGAAAAAAGCCTTGTGTTATCAATTAGGAGCAGATTTTTTTGTATCTGATTACAGTAGTAAGAAATCGTGACCGAGTGGCTGAAGGAATTAAAGCAAATCATCACACAGCCTCTTGATAATAGCTGACGACTCAATCTATCTCTGTCAAATACATTAATATAAAAATACATTATTTTTTACTTTTCTATATGATATTGCTATTTAATAAACATAACTATCAAAGCAACCGCTGTAGTAGGCTAATCAGCAACTGTCATAACAAGGCGTGATGAAGCCTACCTGCGAGTGTATCCAAAACTGATCCGCCCCAAGGATGAGGTGATTATGCCTTATTGTTATCTCTCACAGAAAAGGCGTCGTTTAGGTGACTCTCATGTCCTCTGTGTAGGCATCAATAAGGCCGTGCATCGGGCTTGAACCTGTGAAATTAAAGCTACGTTCCTCCCTGCATCACCACCGTTGTCTCCCTGTTCTTCCCCTCAGGACCCAGTATTTCTCGTCTGCCCTGCGTCACTCCTAGTCATCCTGAGGGAAAGGAGCCTGCCCTGTAAGGCTGGACAAGAGTCAAGTTAGGTAGTGTGCGGGACAGCAATTCCGGATATTTCTTTCAAAATAAATGCATCATGTTTAGGCTTAAACGCTTAAGATGAATTCAAAAACAAAACAATACATCTTGACAATCTAATTGACAGTAACACATAATTAATTATTTTAATTCTAAATAGGGAAATGTAATTCTCTGTGGAAATTCTTATATGTCATTAGATGGCAAATCAAATAAAAAATTTAATTAAAAGTAAACTGGCATAGATTTAGATTAACTGTTTAAGTTAAAATGCCAAACATTTCCTGGATCCAGCTTATAAATTATGAGCATTTGATGCTTTTATATGTTTTATGTCATTGTAAATTGATATTTGGATTTTGGACATATTGGTGGTAGGCTACAAAATAAGCAATTTGAATATGTCTCCTAAGGCTTTGGTAAACAGTGATGATGAACATGAACATGAAATGAATGAACAAGCTCACTAAAATCATCAAACTATTTGGAGGAGTGTCAGCTGAAATCTCAAATAAAAAAATCTCAGATATTATGCTATTGTTAAGCTATTAAATGGAATATAATTGAACTTCCTGTTTTGTTCGTCCTGTGATTGTTTGACTTGACCAAGCTGGGTGTTGGAATATGATGGTGGTGCTGATGAGAGCAGGGTGACAGGGGCGTCGCTCACTGTCAGACATGAGCATGCTGTTGACTCCACAGGGTGCATATTGGTGTTGATGTGATACTGCATCCTGCTGAGTTCAATAAAACAGCAGAGGCACCCTTACTGCTGGGCTTTCAGGCCGATGACACAGGGTGTTACTTTTGAAGTCGAGACAGATTTGTGAAAAATGCGCCATCTGTTGGTGATCAACACAGACCCCCGGGGATTCCGAGCCTTTGTTATGGAAACTTCACTGTCACCATGTTCACAGTGGACACACATTTCTGAGTGCATTTCCTACTTGAATCAGTAAAATTATTCCTGGTAGAGATTTACCAGTAATTACCGGTCTTTGATGACTTGGATGAAATGCATATCTTAGCGCTGTTGTTCATATAAGGTGATGTAGCAGTTTGCAAAAATGCGTGTTCCAGTTTCTATGCTTGCTAGGGTAGCATTTGTTATTAAATTATTATTGTAATTTAAATATTTTTGGACCAGACTTTTATATTATGTATAGGCCCTGTTTTGTGTTTATCAATTTCTGAACATGCCTTAATAGTGACTGTTGTGCATTCACCTTCACTTAAAGAGCAGCTAAAAAAATATCAAGGTTGTAATTAGACATTTATAGGAATTCATGTACTAACATACATAAATATTAACTGAATACCAATCTTCATAACGCAGTGTAAACACTTGAACCTTCTTCTGGAGTACTATTTCTTGGGTATTAAAACACAATACACTAATAATACACCAATAGCTAAAAAAACAAACAAATATTCAATCACTTTTCTGCTGTGGGTTGATCAACGCTTCTCTTTTTTTGCATGAAGAGCAAATAAAAAATAGATAACCAGAGAAGCACATAGCTATTTGAGGTGCGGACATTAGGATAATAAACTCTAGAAAACAAAACTAGGAAATCTTGTTTGCACATTCACAGATTCCTTACATTTTAAACTCAGATTCTTTGCATTTTTTAAATGGAATCTGCCAGTGAGCAAACATGTTTTTCAAGAATAGTATACTAAACACAGTGGTGGGAAAGTCTATTCTCTCAGGTACAAACAAGGTGTTGTACTTGAGTATTTCCATTGTATGCAACTTCCAGAACAATACTCCACCACATCCCAAATATGTTACTTGTTACTCCACTACATTTGTCCGCCCGATTTAGTTACTTAATTACAAATTCCAAACCAGGCTTCAGTGTTCCCTAATGGCTTAAGAAAATGCTCCTATTTATTAAGCTAAATAAACTATGTAGAGCACCAACCCCACCCAATCTACCGGATCAGTATCACAAAGGTGAAAACTTATTATAGGCTCATGAAATGGTCACTTTTTAGAGATATATGGTTCACACAGGAGGGCAACAGTACATCATATAATGTTCTTACAGAATATGAATCATTGCTGTAAATTAAATTACCCAACAGTACATAAAGTATAGTTCAATTAGTTTGAACATCTACAACAGTAAAATGCAACATACACAGTGATGCAGAAGTAATAGGCTATTAATCCAGAAACATATCAGTGAAACACTGACAGGGACCATTTATACTTTTTTATGGTATTTGTGTAATGTTTGAAAGGATTACACTTAGAGATGAAATCGTTTACAATAACATGTTGGAACATTCAAGGTCTGAGTTCATCAGCTTTTGGTTTAAAGAGCAGAAATCCAGATTTCAATAGAGAGTTAAAAGACATCATTACATTATTAAAAAAGAAGAATCCCATATATGGTTGAAAATTAACAAAAAGATGATTTGTGCTGAGCAACATGTCTACATGTGTGACATCAACATACCTCCATCAGAATCCCCCTACTACATCCCAGATATTTTCTCTATTCTTGAGGAGGAAATTAATCATTGTAAAACCATGGGAAATATTAATCTGTGGGGACTGGAATGCTCGTACTGGGTCTGTGCATAGTCAATGGCAGGCTACGAGGGGACTCTCTGGGTCGCTACATTCACAGCTCAGCTCTTGGCAGTAGTACGGTAGATTATTTCAATACAGTGTCTCTCAGAGCTTTCACAGTCAGCCCCCTCACACCCCTCTCAGACCACAGCAAAATCACAATCTATCTGAAAAGGGCGCAGTCTAACTCTGGAGCTCCTAGAGCCTGTGAATTGTTTAACAGCACATACTCATACAGATGGACCCAGACAGCATGGGGGCGTACCAAAAGGCACTGGAAAATCAAAACATACATGATTTAACTAATTTATTTCTAACTGAAACATTTCCTCATAATAATTCTGGTGTAAATTCTGCTGTGGACAAAATCAATAAAATATTTCATCACTTCGCTTTATTGTCTAATTTGAAAGCCTCCAAACCAAAACCTCAACAAATGGTGATTAAAAAAACAACCAAAACCCCTCTAGATTACCCTGTAACAGAACAAGAATTTACAGAAGTCATCCAGTCCCTGAAAGGAAAAGGCTTGTGGTATTGATGGAATCCTCAACGAAATGATCAAATACTCAGACCATAAAATCAGATTGGCTAGATTAAAACTATTCAATACCAACTGGAACTTTTCAGACATCAACAGACATCTGGAAAAGAGGAATATGTGTATCCAGTAAACTAGGAAAAATATTCTGCATCAATAAACGACTTTCTAGATGACCACAATATTCTGCATAAATGCCAAATTGTTTTTTTTGCTAAATTGCCGCACAATGGACCATATATTTACCCTCCAGACTTCCATAGATCAAGAATTAAACATTAAGAAAAGAAAGGTATATGCCTGTTTTGTTGACTTCCAAAAAGCCTTTGATTCCATCTGGCACAAGGGCCTTTTCTATACGCTACTTGAAAGTGGCATTGGAGGAGAAACATATGATTTGATTAAAAACATATATACAAAGAGTGAATGTGCCATAAAGAACGGAAACAAACAAACAGCGTTCTTCTCCCAGGGCCAGGGAGTGAGGCAGGGATGCAATCTCAGTCCAATTCTCTTTAATCTATATATCACTGAATTAGTGAACCATTAGTGGCTGTGAAAGATCTGAGGGACAAAGCAAGGAGAGCTTTCTATGTAATAAAAAGAAACATTAAAACCTATATTCAAATTGAAATCTGGCTTAAAACTTTCCAATTTGTACTAGAACCAATAATTCTAAATGGCAGCGGAATTTGGGGGCCAAAACTTAATAATGAATTTGACAAATTGGACAAAACAATCATAGAGTCTTTCCATACAGAGTTCTTGAAGTACATCCTGCGGGTGCAGAGGACAACACAAAAAAACCTGTGCAGAGCAGAGCTCGACCAATATCCCCTCTTACTAAAAATACTGAAGAGATCAATAAAATTTTATAATCACTTTAAATCAGTTTACCCAACGACATACCACCACAAAGCCCTAACATACCAGGAGCTGAAACCAGAGGAGTCCCCTCAGCCAGCTGGTCCTGAGGCTCTCTGCAGTATCAAGTCTCCAACAGCCTCATGACAGCAACACCAACTCAAGCAGAACAAACCAAATTATCAACAAGCAAAAGGAAAAATATATTGAATACTGGAAAGAAAAGACCAAAGCACAAATTAAATTACAATGTTATCTGACCCTAAAAATTACCCGAGCACAATAAAATGTCCTAAACTAAGAAAAATGTTGACAACATACAGACTGAGTGAACACAGCCTGGCCATAGAAAAGGGTCGCCACAGACAGAGCTGGCTACCACAAGAGGAGAGACTCTGCTGCCAGTGTGACACAGGACAGGTAGAGACAGAGCTACACTTCATGCACCTAAATATAAAACACTGAGACAAAAAAACTTTGCAAACATTTCCCAAATATACCCCGAATTTGAATTTATATCAGAGATATAGAAACTCCCCTGTTTACTGGGAGAAATGCCAAATGTCAAACAATTGCTGCAAAACATGTTTCCTCATGCTGTGAACTGAGGACAACCAGTGGAAACCAAGACTGATAAATAACTGTACTTTGAAAATTATTATTATTTTGATTGTTTGATATTTAAGTAATTATTCCTTTATTTGTATTTTGTTCACATTTGATACAGATTTTGTTTTTAATTAATACATTTTTTTTGTCTATTAATACACACACGTTACTGTTTCATTTATTTATTTTATTTAAAATTTTTTAACACACACACATGCTTACTGTTTTATTTTAATTAAATATTTTTATTTTCATTTTCTAACACACACACACACACAATGTACTTTTTTAAATATTTATTTTTACGTAATTTTTATATATTTTTTGTATTATTTTATTTTTTATTAACACACAGAAACACAACTTTTACTGTTTTATTTACTTATTTAAATGCTCTGCATTAGTATAG